AGCAGCTCTGACGCACATGTGCCACACTCACACGCACACAGTGGCAGCAAGGGCTCCGTTCTACTCGCTGAAGTACTCCTTCCCCCAGACCTAAGAACCGGGCACACACAGGTTCTAAACAAGCATCTGCTGAGTAAGGGAATGAGCAAACGTGGATTTCATAATCAGAGCTCTCAAGTTCACTTTCACTGTGCCAGAGGGCGCACGTGCTTGCTGGAGGGAGACAGCGAGAGACGGCGTGTGGCGGGGGGACTGAGACAGCACCCGGGGTGGCCAACCACAGGCTCTTCCCCTCCATTCTCCTCTCAGGATTTTGGACATGCCACACACGCGCCTGGCATGTTTTTCAAACTATGCATTTGGCCATGTGGGTTCCAATGCCTTACCCATCATGCCACTAGTTGGTCCTTCCATTTATTTTTTAACTTTCCTGCTCAAGAACAAACTTCCGAGCAAAGATATGTGATCCCTTTCCGGCTAAATACATTGTACATTATCTTTTCAGCTAAGCTTTGACGCCGAGCTACTGGTTCCTCTTATTTCCCTCCAATCTTACAGGCTGCTTTAGAAAAATGGGGAAAGGGACCAGCAGTTAGCGTAATGGCTATGTTGCTGGACTCCCATGTAGTTGACCACAGTTCAAGTCCCAGACCCAGTGGTTTAAACTCGCACTGGGCGCGTGTGCGTGTGCGTGCGTGCCCAAGGTCCCAAGAGGAGAACAGAGAAGAAGGGATTGCGGCATGATCATTCCCCCAGGGGGTGATTTCTCGCTTTCCGTTTCTCTGTCTCTCTCGTCTTTCTGGAGAGTGCATGCGCCCAAGAGCAAACCCCCCCAAAAAGAAAGAAAGAAAGAAAGAAAGAAAGAAAGAAAGAAAGAAAGAAAGAAAGAAAGAAAGAGAGAGAGAGAGAAAGAAAGAAAGGAAGAAAGGAAGAAAGAAAGAAAAGTGGGGGAAAAAATGCCAACAATGTTAATTATGCAAAAGATAAGCATGAGCACGCCCTGGCCTGCAGGGCTCCGATGGCCATGTGGCCGCTGCAATGGCATAGCTCAGGCCTCCGTGAAGGTCTCCTAGGACTCCCGCAGGCCCTGCACAGCAGAGGCTGGCTGTGCCTGTTCACAGAGGCCATCGGAATGTGCCACTAACGTGATAAGAGAGCGCTTTGAGAGACAGTGCGTCCATTTCGAACCATCCCAGGCGCACTCTCTGTGAAACACGCAGTGAGTTCACTGTGCAGACACCACGCACCCCACAGCTGAGGACTAGAATAGATCCACTCATTTTACTTTTAGGGAAGAAAATCTGCAGCAAAGCAATTTTTAGAATGTATTTTAGGGGGACCAGCAGATGATGTATGGCTACGTTGCTGGACTCCCACAATCGACTGTGGTTTGAGACCCAGATCTGCGGCTTAAAACTCATGCCAGGCACATGTGTGTGTGTGCCCAAGATCCCAAGAGGAGAACAGAGGAGGGAGTGCAGCGTGGCCAGCCCCCGAGGGGTGATTTCTTGCTGTCTCTCTCTCTGTCTCTCCAGCGAGTACATATACCCTATAGCAAAACTCTAAAAAATGCATTTTACGAGCCAGCAGGCAGTGTAGCAGTTACACTGTTAGACTCTCACATGGTCAAACACGGTTCAAGTCCCAGATCGGTGGCCCGTGACCTGAAACTCGGGCCATGGGCATGTGCATGCATGCCTAGGATCCCAGGAAAAGAACAGAAAAGAGATTGCAGTGTGGCCATCCGCCCGGGAGGTGATTTCTCACTTTCCCTCTCACTGTCTCTGTCTCTTTATCTCTCTCTCTGGGAAACCCACGTGCCCTATTGCAAAACACTCTTAAAAACATGTATTTCAAGAATAAATACAAATGATTCAGTGATTGTCTCTTAGCTGGAATGCTCTCGAGGCCTGTGGGCTGCATGAGCAGGGGTGGCGGGCCGGCCGAGGTCAGGCTTGCTCACATTTCAGAAGCTGGGGCTGCCTGCCGGCAGGGCTGCTCACTACACCACGGGTGGGCCAAGGAGAACCACTCTCTCCACACAGCCTGCACTCGAGGCCGCCACAACCAGGGGATCTTATTTAGAGGATTAAAAATTATGAAGTTTAAAACATGCCATGTCCAAATTAAAATTATAAAAATAATGTTTGGGGGGACCAGCAGTTGGCATAATAGCTATGTCACTGACTCCCATGTAGTCGACCGCGGTTTGCTTCCTGGATCCGGTGGATTAAAACCCACGCCGGACACGTGTGCATGTGTGCCCAAGATCCCGAGAGGAGAATGGAGGAGAAGGGATTGTGGTGTGGCCATCCCCTCTGGGGGGTGATTTCTCGCTTTCTGTCTCTATGTCTCTCTCTGTCTGTCTGGAGAGTGCACGCGCCCTATAGCAAAAAAAAACTCTCCAAAAAAATATGTATTTGTAAATACTAACTGAAAACAAAAACAAAAACAAAAATCCAGCGCTCTTGAAATCTCAAGTTGTCCCAAATCAGCCATATTTCTTCCATTTGTTTTAAAGGCAAAATTCTTGACCTGTCTTACAAGGCAGCTACTGTCTCTTTAGGGCACTTGGAAGAGAACTGCTAAGGCGTCATGTTTCCGTCATTTAACGACTTCGGCAGGGGCATGGTCAGCGCCCCCCACCCCGGCTCGTGCTTCCGGAGGGTGAGCCTCCTACCACCGTGCGGCAGGCGTCTTCCACGTGAGACCGCGACGATGGAAGGGATGCCAGGCTCACAGGGCCAGACGCAGAGCTGGCGCAGCTGAGAGGGTGGCGCGC